ATTGCAATAAAACGGCAATTTCATACTTTAACCCCTAATATTTGCCATCTCCTGAATAATCACTCTTTATAAGATACGAGTTTGAAGAAGTAAGGCATCATTATGCATTATCCAAATGGCAATAATACAATTTATAACATACTTGAAGAGGAAGGCCAAACTAAGAATACCCTCAAACAATTATTGTGTACGAAGGCATTGATGTGGGTTGACGAGGCTAAAGATTTCTTAGAAGGCTGTAGTGTAGTCTCTTCCTACTCCCATGGGAAAAGAGCGTTAAACGTATGTATGTATGTACAAGGTGTCCAGAAAGAGTATCGGGTATTTGTTTTCGCGCCATATTCGAAACGGGGCGTCTAAAGGGTGCGGGGAGGGGTTCGTGGGGTCCGCCATTTTGTGGAGTTTTAGTCACGATGGAACAGTACTCGAGGACGCATCGCGCATTTTGCGTACGAGCGTATTATCGTAATGGTGATTCAATAGTGACTGCTCAACGTCTCTATCGTGCGGAATATCGTACACGCCACGCGCCAAGTGACGATAGCATTAGGAAATGGATCAGGATGTTCGAAAATACAGGTGCGACAGTTAAAATTCAAAACTCTGGTCGTCCTCGTTCTGTTCGCGATGAAGAAACAATTGATGAAGTTGAGGCGTCGGTTCGTCAAAATCCGTCTTTATCCATCCGAAAGCGAAGCCAAGCGTTGAACATCAAAAAATCGTCTTTACATTGGATTTTAAAGAAAGACTTGCATCTAAAAGCCTATAAAATTCAATTGGTTCAAGAATTGAAGGATACGGACTATGCTAATCAACTGAATTTTGCGAATGAAATGCTGCAGCGATTTAACAACTTTAACAACATACTGTTCAGTGACGAAGCAAATTTTCACCTGAATGGTCATGTTAATAAGCAGAATTGTCGGTACTGGGCAGTGGAGAATCCGAGACGAAAGCATGAACGACCCCTGCATAGCCCAAAGGTCGTTGTTTGGGCCGCTATGTCTGCTAAAGGCATAATTGGTCCTTATTTTCATGAAGATCAACGAGGCCGAGCAATTAATGTGAATAGTGACCGTTATTGCGATATGTTGCGAATTTTTTGGTCCCAGAGTTGCAGGAGTTTGCAGGTTTTAACTTAAGAACGTGGTTCCAGCAAGATGGGGCCACTTGCCATACCTCAAATGACTCAATGGAAGTTGTTAACGAATTATTCCCTAATAAAGTCATTTCGCGAAGGGGTAACATCAACTGGCCTCCCAGAAGCCCCGACCTTAGCCCGCTTGACTATTTTGCATGGGGATACCTTAAAAGTAAGGTTTATCAAAACAATCCGACGAATCTAACCCAGTTAAAGCAAAACATCAGGTCAGAAATGGCAGCAATATCGATAGCTATGTGTCAACGTATTATCGCCAATCTTCGTTTCCGTTTAGAAGAGTGCCAGCAACGTAACGGTCATCATTTGGATAACATCATCTTTTCCAAATAATTCTCCAATTCATATGCTAATAATACACAATAAACTTTTTTATTACATACAAATAAATTTTGTTTCATTGAACTTACAAATACCCGATACCCTTTCTGGACACCTTGTATGTATAATTGTAAATGTAGTGGAATATCGACTATGTAGGAGATCACCATACAGAGAGGAGGCCACTACTTGGTACTTGGTACTTGGTGCAACGGGCTGGTATCCGCAACTCGGCGACAAAGCGCCTATTTTGCGTGTGGTGGGTGCAGGGTCCTACTCGTGCCACCCAAGCTCCTCCAGGAATCTCAGCAGCCTCCTTGGTTTGCTGAAGACTTCGGGGAGCGACCTTGGCACTCCAAGGTTTTTTTCCCTGTAGTTGGCCACGCCGGAGCACTGAAGTAGGATGTGCGCAGCCGTTTCCTCCCCCTCCATGCACGCTCTGCATAGAGGGCTGTTTGTGATACCTAAATTGAAAAGGTGTTTATTGTATGGACCATGACCCGTTAGGGCGGCAGTTAGAGTGCGAAGCTCTTGCCTTTTAAGTTTAATTAGTATTTGAGATAGACTGGCATTGAGCGTTGGGAGTGCTTCCCTCGCCTGTCTACAAACCGTAAGGGTGGTCCATGTATTATTATGTGAAGATTTTGTACCTTTGTGTATAGTTGTTCTGGACCATTGGCAGGGGAGGGGCACTATCGGTTCTGGTCCTACAGCGTCCGTCTCCGACCCTTTCCTGGCTAGTTCATCTGCTGCGTCATTGCCACGTGAGCCGCTGTGTCCTTTAATCCACTGAAGAGTTACGTGGTTTTGTATACATACCTCCATGAGTGCTTGATGGCATTCGTAAATGAGCCCTGAGTTTATGTCATAGCTATTCAGCGCTTGAAGTACTGACATACTGTCGGAGAGTATTCGAATGGAGTAGTTCTTTACTTTTTAGAGGAGGCTACCTGATCACATGACTACAAAATCAAACCCCAAATAATGGAATGAACTATATGTAATAATAAAATAATGGAATTATTCTTGAGAGGAGAGAGAAAGGGAGAGTATAGTATAATTTGTATTTCTACAATTCGAAAGATGGGTTTTAAATCCTTATTTTAATGTTGGGTTGCATTAGTGCATAGTTGCATTAATGACGTTTTTTACAAATTTTTATTTACTAGGAAATGAAACTATTTTTCCGGATTTAAATCGCGTATATTTGTTTTTTCAATTCATTTTTTATTTACTAGTTTATTACAATTTCGAACATTATTTATATCCGGTGCGAATATTGGCCAGGCTGTACTTTATAAAAGTGCACAAATATCCCCTCCATATATGTATTATAGTTTTTGCAGACCGTTGATCACTCGTTCATATTTTCCACATTCAGGTCAACTCATATTTGATTCTTTGCTTTGGAATCAATCCGCGTATAACGGTATAAATTTCTTTTTCCCACCATATCGGGAAGTATGCGTTGTATTTCCATCAATGAGTAAGAACCTGTAGCTTTATATTTATAAAAAATATCTAAGTACAATCTGGCCTTAAATTTCTACCAACTACTTATTAGTATTAAGGATGACATTTTTTTCAACAACCATTAAAATTAATACGAACAACATTTCTAGGCATATTGAAGTAACGACTGGGCCATCGCAACACTTCGTCTTTAGCGTCAAGTTTTACAGTGGGGTAGACCGTGGCACTGTTGGTTTCTCGGCACCACAGCGGAAATGGGCTATGCTTTCCATTGGTCAGGTTAGAAATTAAAACCTTTTGTAAACATAACTGCTTATATTAGTTTATCTTTTAGCAGGGACTACTGAAAAATTAGTCTATTTGATTGATCTCTTTGATTTTAGTAGATTAAGCAAGTATATTAAAAAACTAGAAGATTTCTAAGCTAGGGTTAAACCTTGCCTAATTAAACCCTGAGTGTCGAGCAACTGGGGTCCCGCCACAAAGTGAATTTTAATCCATTTGTGGTGAAAGTACCAACTCAACATCTGTCGCCCTTTATGAAGGAGGAGTTTTGGCCGAAAGGGTGTCATGTACCGACGTTTCTGAGGCCGGCTACCGGACACCCACGTTACGTCACACGTCGCAGAGAATACGTGTAAATAATTAGTAATTAGCGTTTTATTATATTGTATTTATGAGTCTTTGTAACCTGAATATAAATAAGAAAAGAAAATAAATAATACAGTAAAAAGGCTGTGAAACTCAGTGATCATGGAAATCTGTACTAGTGATCGTTCTTTTGTAATTATTGAAATCTTCTTTTTGAAATTCTCTTTGAAATTATAAAATATTTATTAATAAATAAGAACTATAATGAATACCGCATAAAAAAATATATACAGTTCACGAAAATATAGAGTTATTATTTGAAAAATTCCTTTTCAGCCTCTTGATGTCAAAATCTTCAAGCCACAGAGTGCAGAATGCCTATGCAGTATTACAGTGGAGGCGGATTTTATGCTCAAGAAGACGTGAGTACATAATCAAATTATACCTACATTGCGTCTTTCTTATTGCTAATACTGAGTGATTGCCGCAGTGTGGCTTCATGTTATGGCTACAGTAAAAATAATTCAAAGAAAAGTTTGAAAACTATTGACTAATACTATTCCTTTTTTGGCCTGTTTCAATAACAGAAGAATAATTATCTTTGTCTCTCAAAGAAAAGTTGACGGAGTTCCAAAGAGTTTGTTGATAATGCGATATTAATCAATAAATCGTAGCTGTGCACCTGTATTAATAGAATCAGGGGTTCTATTGCATGGTGCTAGTTCATTGTTAATGTCTCCTTTGCTAGTGCCCCAAGCTTTTATTTTTATTTGTGCACAGATTGAGTATTAGGTCTGGAAATATTATTTAACTTGTGTTACATCTTGGAGAAGAATAGAACAAAAAGTCAGTCGGCTCAATGATGGATTTCCCATCCGTATCAAGTTGGGTTATATTGTAAAAAAACACGTTTATTTACAGGAAGATTAGAAATAAACTAAGGGATTTCAATTAATGAAAATATTTAATAAATCTCGAACAAGTTCTTAAATTAATAAAATTATAAAATAAGTACACTAAAAGCGCAGCACCTCCACTTACTATAATCTATCAAAACCATTTACATTAAAAAAAACAAACCATTAATAATAATAATAACGTTCACACTCAACATAGCCCCGCACTAGGGAAACCCTGTGTCGCGGGTGTCATGGACACACACAATGCAGCCACAAATTACACCTAAACTCACAACAGAAATAAATGTAGGCCGTACAAATATGTCTCCCGGCCCGAGAATCGAACCAGGGACCTCTGCGTGGCAGTCCGGCATGGTAACCATACAGTTACCATTAGTTTTTATTATTGTAATATGTATATTGAAATACAATAAAATAGCGTCGAACACCCGTACGCTTTAGAACCAAGACCATTTGGGCCGTGTTCTGGATAAATGAGTTAATTCACAAAATGACAGTTTCGAGATATTGAGCATTAAAGATTTTTGGCACTTTTTTTCATTGTTCATTTAATTAATGAAGTTTACAGGACAATTATATATCAAAAGATTTATAATGAAGTAAGTTTTACATTACGATCAGTTTATTTTTTTAAGTTAACAAATTTACGATTAGTAATTAAATGAAAATGGTTTATTCAAAACTCGATGTATCAACAAAATTTATTTATTTTGTCATAATAAAGAATTGACGTACAATGGTTTCCATAATTTTTGTTTCCATAAGTAGGCATACATGTTACAATAGTTTAGTTATATGTATAATGGGCCCAGTACGGCATGGTAATTATTGAAAAGTACTTAATACAAAAATTCACATTAATTTTCTACATACTTATAACAGTAAATAATTACGAAAAATTTTAGTTTGACATTTACACAAATTATAAAATTAGTATTACATTTAACTAATAACATTATATATTACGTTCTAAAATTAACACTTAATTTCATTCCTATGATAGATGTGTATGAACTGTATAAAATGTGGTTTCTAGTTAAGAAGATCATAAACAACTTATTATTATTATTGGTACCAGAGTATTGCTCGCATCTCTTGGCTGGAGCTCCCAAATACCAGCTTGACCCACTTGAGTCTCAAATTCTTTCACCTTTTGTACCCTCTCGCTACCAATTTTGTCCCCACTTTTATCCCTTTTAATTACCATCGCCTTCGTCTTACTCACATTCGCCTTCATTCCTTTTCTTTCATATTGAAATAAACGAATTAAGCTTCAGTTTTCGCAATGAATATCTCGAAAGGTGCGCTATTAGCCAAATTCTAATTTTAACAGTAAAAAGTTTATTCTAATCGTCCAATCCTCAGTTTCAGAATCTATATCATTTTCCAGTCAGTCCATATCATCGACAAAATTTAAAGTTTTTACATTTTTCAAAAAAGTTGTACGTGTTAAGCGTACTTAAACTAAATCGTTTCAAATCATGTTGAAGGATATGTGTTGTAATTCGCATTTACGGTTTAACCACACATAACATTTTTGCGAAATTAGCTTATAGACGAGCCAGATTTTGTGAAAACAATTTTTTTATTCAACTAACAACTATTACTACGATTTTTTTTAAATGTATTAGTGAAAAGAATATTAAACTTTATATTACAAGACTGCATTCATAACTCATTTTACGATTTTCTGTGGGTTAACACGTTTATGCAGAACGCGTTCTGTCCGTTCAGACTGCCCATTTAATCTGTTTTCATTTGTTGAAAAAAAAAACAGGAATTTTAGTTTTTATAATTTTAAATGAAACACATTCGATAAGCCGTTAATTGATAACATTCATCGACCTAATTAATATTTCGTGAACTACACGCCTGTTAACGCGTACTTGGCATGTTTGTATGGTGTTTAAAAGATATCTGCATATTTTTGTAAACAGCTTGCAAGCAATGAAGGGGCCTGGGTGTCTAGTAGTTTTTAAAAGTGGCGTGCTGGTTTAGTGTTTTGTCGTGAATATTAGTTTTGTCAGTAAAGACAATTATTTCTTAACTCCCTAAGACCCAGCAAACTACAATGGGAAAAGCCTTAAACACCCTATATAAAAAATTAAACATGTAAAATGTACTAAATACAATTACGTGCTTCAGGCCCAAAAAAGTATACCTCAGTTTTGTATGAATCACGTATTTTTCTAAATGTTCTGTGATTCCGAAGATTAAATATTATAAGATTCCGTCTGTGCACCGGCCGTACGACTCACAAAGCCAGCAAAGCGTTCCCAATCATGGACATTTCTAGTGTAAATATTCGTATGCCCCATTTTACTTTAACTAGGCTTTACGGAAATTCTAAGAGAAAATATTACTTTAGCACCTCATTGGAGCCATATGATTCGGAGCAAATGGCGCGCGACTTCACGATCCAGTTTTCGAACCAAGTGTTTACTGTCGGCCAGCAGCTCGCATTCTCCTTCCAGGACAAAAAGGTTTTGAGTCTTATCGTCAAGAATTTGGAAGGTAACATTATTTATGTTGAATTCTGAACGTAGTATAAGATTCTCTTTAATTTTAATCATACCTATTTATCTATAGTTCCTGTAGCACCTTTATAAGAGCCATCTTATCATATTTTTTTAATTGGCTAAGAACTTCCTTAATAGGCTAATGAAGTAAACAAATATTAATGACATGTGCAGCGGTGGACGTGCAAGCGATGGCGCAGGGGGCGAAAGTGGTGCCACGGCGAGTGCGCATGGGCCGGCTGTTGCCTGATGCCAGCGTGCAGTTCGACAAGGCAGAGAATTCCGCGTTGAATCTCGTCGGCAAGGCTAAAGGGTACGATATAAATGTTAATAACATTTTAGTGCAGGGTAGCTCTAATACACAGTTGTCTTTACAGAACTCTCCACTAGTGGGTAAGGCGGTATGGCCTGCTACAGCTAGATGCGTAAAATGTGTAAAACCTCTTTTAAAATGGAACCTTATGGTTTACATAGTTTACAGAGTTTAAATAATTTAAATTAAATATTACAGCATCGAAAAATGAGAGTTTGTGTTGCTTTGTGTTGATGGCCATCCAGTCATCAATAATAAATACAGACAATAGGTATCTTAACTATCAGCAGTGTATGCATTACCTACTAATCATCACATTACCGGTACAGGCCACATAGAAACCAAGAATAATCATCCTAAGAGACTATTCTTGAGATTATTCACCGATAAAAGCTGTCTTGAAAAGACTTAGACTTCTGAAAAAAGCTCGCCTTTATCGGTGATAATTTAAATTAATTAAAAAGTATATAACATTATACTATTTCCGATACATAGCCACTAGTTGTTGGAACAATATTCCTCTTCCTATCCGTAACAGCATCAAAAAAAGAACTTTCAAGCAGAAGCTGCAGGAGTATCTTAAATATGCAGAAATTGGAAATATGAGTGGCTAGAATGTTTAAAAAAAATTAGGATGAAATTACATTGGACTGAATTGAATTAAATTGAATTGAATTGGTTAGAATTTGAATTGAATTAAATTGGTTTAAAACCCAAAAGTTTTACGAGTGGCGTCTCTGTCCTATGTGGTCCTGGTAGAATTCCAGCGTCGTGGGCAGCCGCGTCATTTATGTTGAGTCAGCGCCTTTTCATTGCCATGGCTTACAAGGGAGATATTAGTAGAATATATTACTGTGTTACGTCTAAGTTAATGTCTGTATCATGTGTCTGTGTATGTATTTGTCATGGTGGTGAATAAAGATTCTAATCTATCTATCTATGTAGAAGGATGTTAATAGAAACGGGTTATGTGCTTCCACTAGGAAACAACCGCGCCAGTCGATCATCAACCCAGACTGGGACTTCGGCAAGATGGGCATTGGCGGCCTGGACAAGGAGTTCAACGCCATCTTCCGCCGAGCATTCGCCTCGCGAGTTTTTCCACCTGAAGTAGTAGAGCAATTAGGTGAGTAATGGCTATAGTTAAATTAGAATATCATTTTTTTGACGTACCTTCCAATCGGGAGTTCTACTTCATTCAGCCACGTGAATTACGTGCCATATAATATAAATACACTCCTGGACACAATTCGAGCCACCTTGCATTTTTATCGTTAGAGGGCTAAAATATTTAGCTTTTTTTTGGTTTTTGTTTGTTTTGTCTTACTTTGACGTTTGTATACCAATCAAGCATTGTTTAAGCTAAGGGCATTTAATACCGAAAATGCAAGGTGGCTCGACTTATTCATCCGGGAGTATATAACACCAAAACAATGCTGTACTTTTTTATTTTAGGTCTAATTTGAAAATAAAATAATTAGTCTACTGTCGTTTTAATTTCCTTATTGTGTTTAGTCGAGTGCTTCAAGGCTGATTTTGCGTTACATAGGGCGCACTATAAGTTTCTGGAACTGGCCACTCACATAAACAATATTCAAAAAGTAATTACAACATTTGAAAATGGAACTCTTTGGCTGTAGAATACAGTTTGTTTCATCTGACTGTCACTTGTTTTTACATTGTGGCGTCATTTTAGAAATTGGTTGTCTACATCACCATGGATTTAACTCGTGAAAATTTTTGTAGTATCATTTTCTACGACTTTAAGTGTAATTTAACAGCTCAGCGGAGCTTCCCCCGTTTTTATGATGTTGTTGAGTATGAAGCACCATGCAAGACGACTATTTATAGCTGGTTTGCAGAATTCAAACGCGGTCGTGTGAATCTCAGTGACGAATTTCGTTATGGTCACCCGTCCATTGCTGTGAACAACAAAAACATCGATGCTGTGCGCCGTGTGATCAAAGCGGACAGGCATGTGACATACCATGAGATTCGGGCATCTTTAGGCATAGGCATGAGTCAAATACAATCAACACTACACAAACATTTTGGTGTGAAACTGTGCTCTCGGTGGATCCCACACAATTTGACTGAGGCTTAAAAAACGCATCGTGTCACTTGGTGCAATGCCATGCTTACCAGATTCAACGAAGGGGCGTCAAATTTGGTGTGGGACATAGTAATAGGTGACTAAATATGGATTTATAGTTACGATCCCAAAACAAAGCCGCAATCGAGCGTATGGGTCTTTCGAGATGAGCCGAAACCAACCAAAATGGCGCGCGTGCAAAGTGATTGGTACACGACCATTTGTTTGCCGGAAGTTATTGACAAACTACGTAAAAATAACCATAAACGCCGTATTGTCTTGCACCACGACCATACCAGTTCTCACACGGCTAGACAGAAAAATGAATTTTTGAAGGTGAACAACCAACGTTGACCTTATGAGCCATCCCGCGTACAGTCCCGACCTGGCAACTTGTGACTTTTATTTATTTCCAAAAATTAAGAACCAGTTACGCGGTCAACGATTTTCATCACCTGAAGAGGCTGTCGAAGAGTATGAAAAATATGTTTCAGAGATTGTCACGGAGGAGTGGCATAAATGTTTTCAAAATTGGTTCATTCGTATGAAAAAGTGCATTAACGCTAACGGAGAATATTTTGAGAAACAATGAATTCATTTCTGACCATTTATAATATTTTTCCTTATTTATTCCGGAAACTTATAGTGCGCCTCACGTATTGAGAATTTTAGTTAACATTACTTGAAAAGAGTTTTTATTTATTAAATTTTGATGTAAACAATGTTAATCTGTTACAGTTTTTAAATCTTCGACTTTGTCAGAAAATGTATTTTGTTTCATTTTTATTTTAAGGTTGAGTAAGTTGCTGTAAGTCGACGTTAAAAGATGATAATATATTTGCTACTTTATGTCTAATTCCTATATATTTATATAATACATTTTACATTCTCACTTTTTTTTGGAAAACTTTAAAATATGTCTTCTCTTTGTATTTTTCATAAACATAGTTCTAAATACAGTGTATGTATGTATGAACTTACAAAAAATGACAATTCAAATGAATTTGTGCTCAGTAATTTAATGAATAATGAGTCGAGGGTGATTCCAATGAAACAAGTTCGGTTATTTATTCCATAAACGTGACCAATATTCAATCGATAGTCGATAGAATATGTATCGACTGTAATCACTAGCTGCTCGCAAGTGGGCAACACTTTTGCGCAGTAAACTATCATTTTACTCTGTCTTAAAAAAAGACTGACTATAGTTCGATACGACAAGAAGGTTCTATATAAGTATATACTACTATTACTGATTGAAAAATCATTTAAAATAACATTTTGAAATCGGTCATATGTGTGTAATTGTTAAATTTGCCAGGCTGCAAGCACGTTAAAGGCATTCTCTTGTACGGTCCCCCGGGCACGGGGAAGACCTTAATGGCCCGACAAATCGGAAAGATGCTCAACGCGCGCGAACCCAAGATTGTCAACGGTCCGCAGATATTGGACAAGTATGTTGGCGAGAGTGAGGCCAATATTAGGCGATTGTTCGCTGATGCTGAGGAAGAGGAAAAGAGGGTAAGCATTGTTTCGAATACCGAGTACTCGGCCAGGAGTGTGGCCGAATATCCGAACACATTCGGCCAAATTATTCGGTTCGGCACATACGAAAATTGGCACGGAAAATGTTACCACCACTTGTTAACTTTAGTTATTTTAGCATTATATTGTACAATGACACAAACAAGGTACTTTGATTTTCAAGTTTAGAATTCAAATTTATGGTTTTGTAAAGAAAGTAGTTTAACTTCTGTTTTTTTTTATATTATATGTATTAACTGGTCGATTAACTTTCAAAAACTTAATTTTATTTTGTTTTTCAAATAGCAAGTACTTGGTTATTTTGTTAGCGTTTACTTAGTCGTGAGTAAACTGCATAATAAGTATGTGGTAATGTTTGGTAATACCAAATACTAACTGAATATTCGTTGCAACTCTACTTTCCATGAGTCTTGTATCTTCACCTCAAAGATTACGGAAGAAAATGCTCCCCCTATCGAACATATATAGTACCACGCACCAAACACGGAGGTACAAAATTACCTCTTTCTCTCTCTCTCTCTCTCTCTCTCTCTCTCGCTCTCTCGCTCTCTCTCTCTATCTATAACTTTATGATAAATGATTAACAAAGTACGTTTCTCGTAGTCCGGGCCGAACAGCGGTCTTCATATAATAATATTCGACGAGATAGATGCCATCTGCAAGGCCCGAGGTTCGGTCGGCGGCAACACAGGAGTCCACGACACCGTTGTCAACCAGCTGCTTTCGAAGATCGACGGTAACATTTTATCACTATCATCTAACTCTAAACATTATCAGAGCAAAAGTGGTGTAACATACGTCTGATTTTTTTTTTACAATATTGCTTTAAATCATAGGTTCCCAAACAAAGCAACAAGGCTCACCGCCCGCTTCGGCAACGCCCACCGCCACAAAAAATAATGGAAAACACATTTTTTATATTAACACAAAAATATCACAAAGAGAAAATTATATATTTGTAGTGTAGTTTATATAAATAATTCAGTTTTTTTTTTTTTTCAAATACGGTGGCACCCTCTGGGCAGCTTCAACGCTCCCCAATTGCTTCCGGGCCCTACCACCCCTATAATACTCTTCAGCGCCCACTGGTAGGCGGTAGGAATCACTTTGGGAAACTATGCTTTAAATGATTACATAATTATTTTATATTTGGATGCTAAAATAATGGAAAATAAATATCTATCGGTTATATATATGATTACTACGTATAAAATGAATTTGTCTAATTTTAAATCCCTTATCGTCTTTTATATGCATTGCATGGGGTTACACCGTTTTTGCGCTGATAGCCTCAATTATATAAGTATCTGTGTATCTACTACTAGCCTCTCGAGAACCGGATGAAATCAAGTGACAGAGGTCTGACAACCCTGTACACTGGCTGATCTGGGGTCAGAACCTGAACTTGTAAGGTTTCTGCGCGCACTCAGGTTATAGTGCCCTTCTCGTATACCCTTAGAGTCGGTAGGGAGGGTCACTAGAATCAAAACTAAGTCGAAAGATATGAGGCTTTACCTATGTGTCTATATTACTCAATTAAACACGACTCGAAAATCGACTGAAAGGGAGCCTCAGTTTTCCTGAAGAAGTATGTCGCACTTTTATTTTACCCCACCGAAACTCCTGTGCACAAATTTCTTATAAACATAATAGAACTTCCAAGTGTAAGTTGTACTGAGTTGGCACTGTATAAGTACGGGGGATGAAGGAATTTTGTACCTAAATCCACAATGGCTTAAAACATTTTATAATACAGGTGTGGACCAACTCAACAACATCCTAGTTATTGGAATGACGAACCGTCGCGATATGATTGACGAGGCTCTTATGCGACCCGGTCGGCTCGAAGTGCAGATGGAAATCGGTCTGCCCGACGAAAATGGTCGAGTCCAGATCTTGAACATTCACACAAAACGGATGAGGGAGTATAAAAAGATTGCTGACGATGTTGATTGCAAGGTAAGATCTGATTTCCGTTTACTACAAATTTAAAATGATTTCTGTTCTGGCATTACTTTACAGAAATAAATGTTAACAAATAATTATTTTTTTATAAAAAATACCGACTTGAAAAGTTTGTGGAATTACATCTATTTGCCAAGTTTTATCGAAATCAGTTACCGGAAAGTGTGCGAAACCGGATTCATCCCTTAGTTTTCCACATGGGAACAATATTGAGGTACCCACTTTCCAAAAAAACAAGAATCATCAAAATCGGTTACATACATTAAAAAATACAGTCGAATTGAGAACCTCCTCCTTTTTTTGAAGTCAGTTAAAATAGAAGTAAACTAATTTACAGTAGCGGTAGGCTCCTTCTGAAAGAGTTCGTCCAGGAAAGTACTGCCATCTTACCTAATTCTACCGCCGAATAGTAATGTGAGCATTACGGTGTTCCGGTTTCGAAGGGTGTGCCTGTAATTGCACCAAACTCCTGCTGGTGAAATTACAGGCACATGGGACTTGTCAACTTACGAGGGTAGTTTGATAAATACGTGATTGAAGTTCAAATGAAAACTGGAGACGAAACGGGTAGTGATTTGGCCGAATACCGGATATCCGGCGAGCAACTGGCTCGGATATCGCGCGATTGTTGCGATCGGTTTACAGCGCGTGTCGCCGGGATTGATTGCACTTTCACATTGACGGATTGAATTATTGTGGCAACTTGGTTTTGGTTAAAACGATAAATTTATTCGATAATACAAGCAAACATACAACAGCAAAATGTCAACAGTGAAAAAAAAATTGCCAATTAAGCAATATTTTAATATCAGTGCTGTTTGATTGTTGTACTGAATGAAAATTTCTTGTGGTGAAGGAAAAAAACAGTAACATAATTTCTTTGTTTCATTAATCAAATTTAGTTTCAATTTGATTTTATTAATTTGTTTGTAATTGTAATGTGTTTGTACCGGTTTTTGCCGAAAAAAGTGTTTGTAAATCTATTTACACGTTTCATTATTATCGAAGTGAGATATATTATTTTACACATTATGGTATACGAAAGTTAAAACATACTTATAAGCATACACTAGGAACAAAGCCTGTCTCGTAGGTAAACAATTCAAGAAAGAGTTAACAATATATACGCGAAAAGTTAATAAACAGTAATCGGAATTGAGGGCGTTAATTTACCTAAATACAGTATTAAATTTATTTTTTTACTGTTTATTTTCCAAAATATTAGGGGTTAAAGTATGAAATTGCCGTTTTATTGCAATAAATTCTTTGAATTTTCATAGAATCTTCATGGTTTGAGGTTTTCGAATG